AAGAAAACAGCCTTGAGCTGAGCTCCCAAGTCAACTGGAGACTGAAAATGCAGAGTAGGAGGGAGTACCCAGAGGCAGCCAAACACAAACAGAAATTCAAAACTCCACTGTCTGAGGAAAAGCCTTTTCAAACTTCCTGAATGAAGTGCTCTTTGAAGAGTCAATGAACTTCAGTGAAGTCCCAGTTTCTTTACTTTTTTATTATTGTGGCCATAGAAGTTATAATATTTTTAAATATAATCCATCTGTTTATTTCTAACTTTTTTTAAGAATTATTTATACAAGAATGGGGGTACAGGCCAGAGGCACTGGACGGTGAGAGAATTCACCAGAGACAGAGCAGGAAGCAGAGCAGGCAGATTGACCAAAAGCACTGCTGAGGGGAACAGTGGGCAAGACAGGAGAGGTCTGCTGCACCATGTGGGTAGCTCCCTGGCTAGCCAGAAATCAAACCCACGCCGGGGAGGCTGCAGACAGCTTCACAGCACCTCACTCAACCTGCTGCGCCAGGGAGGCCCTGTTTATTTATATCTTTTACATCAATGTGTATTCCCCATAATATTCCCACTACCCGTTCAATGGTGAACTATGACCATAGTCCCTTGTACTCTTATGTCCCCTGTTTTGATCCCTTTTCCTCCCCCTCCCTCACTGGATGCCTCTTATTTACAGTCACCTGCTAGTTTTGTATTATTATCATTATTATTATTATTATTATTACGCAAATAACTCAGTGACAATATATTTCTTATATTCTAAAATGATACATCAATACAAATATAATTAAACCAATATCCACATATAGCTGAAGATATATCAATAAATCATACCTAACTGTAGGCATTTTATATCTAACTAAAATTTGTACTTTAAATTGGATAAATACAAATCAAAACCACAACGATATACCACCTCACACCTGTTAATAATTATCCAACAACAAAACAGAATCAAGTGTCAAATATTAGTGAGATGTGGAAAAAAGAGAACCCTGATAAAATGTTGGTGGGAATGATCTCAAAATATTCAAAATAGATCTTCCATATGTTCTAGCAATTGAACCCCTAGACATTTATTCAAAGAATGCAAAAACATGTATTTGAAGGCACAAAATGACCTTTCATGTTCATTGCAGCACTATTTACAATAGTCAAATTATAGAAATAACCTAAGTGTTCAAAGAGAGATGAATGAATAAATAAGATTTGATGTATATACACAATGGATCTCTACTCAACTATAAAAAGCAATGAAATTCTGCCTTTATGAAAACATGGATGGAACTGGAGAATATTATGCTTGGTGAAATAAGTCAGAAGGAGGAAGACAAAGATAGGGTGATTTCACCTTATGTGCAATATAGATAAACAACACAAAGGAACAGACAAAATCAAACAAATGTAAGCCCTATAAATGACTGAAGAGTTGACGCTAATAGAGTGGGGAGGTATGAGTTTGCAGAAAAAAGGTAGGAGGGTACACAATGGTTGATGATTTATGGGTGCTTTGGAGGGAGAGTGTGCTGTGGTAAGAGGTGTGAACAAATTCCTTTAATTGTGTGCTGTTATACAATATTGTTACCTCCATAAAAGTTACAAAAATAATCAACAAGTATGTGAAAAATAACACTCTTGAAGCCATCTTTAAGAAAATAAAAACACTAACAGCAAGAGCACTACTATCTACATTGAAGACCCATTATTTACCTTACTAGCATTTACTCCTTTCTTCTTTTATCTTCTATTCCTATCTTTTTTAAGTCCTTAATCACCTTTCCCTGATCAACTTCATACTCTGCTCCACTGTTTGGTCGTAACCTGGTTCTAATTAATTATATCATCCAATATTGCTGAGCAAAACAATTGCTTCAAAATAGTCATGTCAAAGAAGCTAACCTAGTCAAAGTCAATGACACTCAAACTTCAGCTTTTCTATTTTGATTAAATGGAGAGAGAAACCATTTCTTTCCACCATCTTGTATTTTGTTGAAAAGATAGAAAAACCCATACAAGGTACTGCTGAAGGCAATAATGCCACCATCAGAAGACCTGAAAATAGTAACTACAGGAGAAACAGAACAAGAGATACAGATGGAAAGAATGACCCAGTACCAGACCCAACCATAACTGAGTAAACATCTACCCCTTTTAAATTACATGCATCAAGAACAACAATTACCCTTGATTTTTTTCTGAAACAAATTTGCCTGGAACTTCTCTCATTGGTGAACAAGAATTTTAAACTAATCACTGTCTCTTTGTACCTACAGTACGTTCTTGCCCTATATCCACACCTACTATTTCATTCTCAGAATAGTAGTATGAGATATGTAGGGCATTTAATTTCCATTTGATAGATTACCACTATTTTAATGACTTTATCATACCACAGCTGAATATAAGAAAATAAAGTATAGTATGCATATGTTTTTCACATCAGCTCAAGTGGTAAGTAATATATGATAGCACATAAATCAAGCAAGCAATATCTAATTGATGTAAAATGTGAGGGAGAAAACATATTGAGATTTCAAGAGAATAAAAGGATGGTAACTTTACATAAGTTGAAAAGAACAATTTAAAGAGACTAGAGGAGGCATTAATTTGCTGAAAATGTATTTAGTGTAATATTCTGGTAGGAAACCTAGGCAAGTTGGATCAACTTTAAATATACTTGTATTCAGAAGAAAGCTCAGGAAAATAATATATATCTATAAGTCACTGGTAATGTTGATTTTTTAAGTTATCTAAGAAGCAACATAACTAATACTATGATGGAGTTTTAGATTTCCAACCTTTACCAATGTCACTTCAGTTAATATTCACAATGACCCTGCGAACAATGATCTATGAAAGAATGACTAAGTTTAAATTAAATATCCAAAATTTCCATCTAATATGTTAATATTTTAAACAAGTTCTCTCTGACTCAGAAAGTGAGCAGAGTAACAAAACATGATATAATATTATAAATATGTGATATTATAGAGGGGAATGGTGAAATAAAAAGAAGATTCAAAGAACATAGAGGGATATTAGAGTAGATATAGGGTAATGGGAAAATGTCTATTTTAAATCATACCTCAGAATAGAGAAAGAATATTTATGAAGTAGCTAAACACTGGGGGTGGGGAAGACATTTTATTAGCAAGTCCACACTATAGCTTCAACAGAATCATTGAAAGATAATTTTAAAATTTTAAGATCCAACTTTTAATCATATATGCAACTTACATTAACTTAGATAGTGAAAGAAAATTAATTTGAATTTTCCAATATAATTCAATTAGTATATATATGAGATATGACTTACCTCCTATTATATGAAAAATGGTTTTTGGAACTAAAAATTACATTGTGTTAAGAACAAATTGTTTTCCATTGTAATTTGTATTAAAATGGAATTAGAATCATAGTTTACTGAATTGGTTAGTATTTCTTTTCTCTGTAATGAGAACATTAATACTGAATATCTTCATGCAATCAAATATATATAGTACTCTATTTGAAAGGAACATTAAGACATTATCTAACTGTTTTCAGAGTATCAGATATTATCATGTTTCAGGAAACTGTTTCATGGGCATATCCAGTAGAAAGACATCAAGCAAGTATGACACAAAGTGATGATCCAGTATAATGCAATGGGGGGAAATAATAGGTATAATAGGTATATCAAGGTTAGCTCCCACCTGGTTCACATTGTAGTCAACAAACAATCCTTGGCAACACTATGCATCCCCTTTTCTCCAACATAAGACTTTAAGGCAGAAACAGCCCTACTTTTGCTGGCAATTATCAGATTTTGCTTTCTCATTTATTAAATGTATAATTAGAAATAATCTTAGTTGGGCCCCCTGGTGGCACAGGTGGTAGAGTGCCACACTGTGAAGCTGTCTGCAGCCTCTGCAGCATGGGTTTGATCCCGACCAGCCAGCGAGAATCCCACATGGCAAAGCAGATCTCTCCTGTCTAGCCCGCTGCTACCCTCAGCAGTGTATTTCGTCAGACTGCTTGTTCTGTTACCTGCTTTGTTTCTGGTGAATCCTCTCACCCTCCCAAGCATCTGGCCTGTACCCTGGTTCTTGTATAAAATAAATAAATCTTTAAAAAAAGAAAAAATCCTAATTAGTTTGATATTGCAAGCACATGTATCTTGCTTAAGAATTTATTTTTTTAAAGATGTATTTATGCATACAAGAACTGGGGTCCAAGCCAGAGGTGTGAGGGGTGAGAGAATTCACCAGAGACAGAGCCGGGAACAGAACAGGTAGATTGACTGAAATACACTGCTGAGGGGAGCAGCCTGTGAGTCAGGAGACGTCTGCTGTGCCATGTGGGTAGCTCCCTAGCCAGGGATAGAACTCATGCTGCAGTGGCTGTGAATAGCTTCACAGGTTGCGTCTTAACCCCTTGCACCACCAGGGAGGCCCACATAAGAATTTAATTCTTTTGGGCATTATAAAAAAATCTAGTATTTAATCAATATAAAATCAAATTTAAATTTAAATAAAATTTGACCTGCTTAAAAGACAAAACTATGGAAACGTTAAGAGGTATAAATTTTCATTTTAGATAATGAAATGAGTTAAAATTTCTTTAATATCTATAAAGTACAAAGAAACTATAGGCTAAGATTGATATTTTAAGAAAAACTCATATTTTGGACCACTGAAGCCTACAATGAAAAAAGACTAATCCAAGGACAGTGCATTCACAATCACAGTGCAAAGGAAATAAAGTGATTCAGCCTCCTCACCCATGTCCCTAAGGTCACAAAATGAAACTTGAATGGTATATACTTCAAACACATGAAATTATAAGATGCAGAAGTTATTCACTGAGGTAACATAAGACAGTGATTATTTTAACTTACAAACTCTCTGTTCTCTCAGCATAGTAGTACAAACACATTTCTTTTAAATCACTCTTTCTTAGCAATCTCACTTTGATTAATTATCTAGTTTAACAAAGCTCTGAAAAATTAAATAAGTAACTTACTGTTTTGAAGATTCAGGAAATTTTAGCTCCTCTCTTTTCTTCATTTCTATTGTTGGTTCCATGGGAGTGAGCACTACAGCAGCACATGAGACTACAGAGTGGTATGAGTCCTCCCGGCAAACTGTTTCATTAGAAAAAATAATTGTAAAAATCAAAATTATTTTTTGACTATTCTCACTTTACCTTAATAAATTCTCAGTCAAATGGAAGAGACAATTCAACTAAAACATTAGTCATCATTATCATTTTCCATAATTACCATTTTCCACTCTAAGACTTTCTACTCACACACTCTATGGCAATTAGGCAATTCTTCTTGAACCACAAGTGGAAAGGGGTCTGCCAACATTTTTGAGTACTTCATTGAAAAAAAAAAAAATTAAGAATGAGAGGTGCACAGAACTTTAAGTGAAATTAACTATCTACTTTATTATATGAATACTTGATATTTAATTAGCATCAAAATCAATTTATACAGCATCAATAGCACCCTAATAGCATTTCCTAATCACTAATGTAGCTTCCAAATTCCACTGTTAATATCACTTATGAAATCAGATAAATTTGCCTATTTGTGTGCTTTATACAAATGAGGTCATATTATTTGTGTATCTATTCTGTCATGGGTGACTTATTCCATTCAATATATGTTTTTAAGACTCATTCATTATTACAGTAGTTTACTCACTCCTAAGGGTAATTTTCCATTGAATGAATGTAGAGTACATATATCACACATTTCATTAGTGAAGGACACTTGGAATTTTTGTCTAGTCTACAGTTATTTAAAATGTTTTTGATTCTTCTTGTACTTTTTTGTTTTTTGATTCACAAACAGATTTATAGTGGAAAATAATCTAGAAACAGAGATTTCTCCTAGGATATGTTCATGTTTTATGTTCCGTTTCAGTCGATAATTGCCAAACTATTTTCTGAACTGATTGTACTAATTTGCATTTCCCAAAACAGAATAATAAGAATTTCAATTGTTCAATAACTATACAAACATGGTTTTGCCAGTTTTTTTCTTTTTAATTTTTAATATTGTGATTTTCTACTGCAGCATAACAAATTAACAAAAATTTAGCCACTTATAACAATACCTATCTATTATCGCAGTTTTATTAGTGAAATGTACAGGTGGTGTCAATTAGGTTCTCTTATGAGGTCTAACAGGCCAATATCAATTTGTCAGTCAGGCTGTGTTTTTATCAAGAATCTCTGGAAGAATCCAATACATTTAGGTCCTTATCAGAATTTAGTTCCTTGAAGTTGCAGGATTCTGTCACTTTTATCATGCTGGTGATTGGCCAGACACCACTCAACTTCTAGAAGCTACTAACAGTTCAGTGACCAAAGGCCTATCTCAGCAATGTAGAACATCCCTTTTGAAGTTCTTACATGCTTTACATCTCTCTGATTTCTTCTTCTGATAATAGGTGGGAAAAAGTTCTCTGCTCTTTAAGGGCTCTTGTGATTAAGTTAGGCTCACAAATTATCCCTTCTTAATTACCTCAAAGTCAGCTAGTTAGCAACCTTAATTACATCTGCAAAATCTCTTTTATCATGTAACAAAACATAATTACAGTAAGGATGTCCTCTAATCTTCCCAGTGGAAGAAAATTACTGAAGACTAGCATCATGTTACCTTGGAATTTTGCCTACCACAGCTATTTCTATTAGATTATGGTGGTGTCACAGTGCAGCTTTAATTTATAGCCTCCTGATAACTAGCAAATCTAAATAAATATTTATTAACACCCATTTTATCTGATTCTAATATTCAATTTTCAGTTACACGATTTAGTCATCGCAAATCAACGCTAAAAATTGTAATTTATTTAACATGGTATAGCAATCATGAGCTTAAGTATAGACTACTATGCTAGCTTTTCTGTCCTCAAATACACATTTAGAGACATGCATTATGATCAGTGATGAACACAAACTGCTTCTTTCAAAGTCTGTGAACAATCAGTCACCATGCATCTGTTATCAATTCAGATTCAGTATGTAGCTGTGTTGTCTCCTTGTCTCCCAGTGATAAACATGTGACATTTTACAAAAGTATAATCTAAGAATTTGCCAAAGGAAATGAAAATATACCAAAGAAATGAAGATGAACAATTGAATTGAAAATTAATGAGAAACCAATAGAGTACTAACTCATTTCAATAATTAAGAAAGAATAAATTAACGCTCATGCCAATGTAAAAAGAAGTAAATATTAAAGATGACAGCATACATTAAAAAAGAGGAGAAAACAAAAATACAGTATGGAGATACAAACAAAAGTATGTAAGACAATTACCTGGAAAAGATTCAACAGGGAAGTAGATATATATGTGATCACTATATTCTGACAAACAAAATTCAGTACCAATGTATATACTTAATGAGTAAATCAGAACTTTATGTCATAATGGGAAAGATGTAAACTACTCTATATAGTAATCTGGTGAGAAAACAAGTTGTTGGATATTCTTTTCACATTTTACCAAGCCATGAATAGATAAATTACTTTTGAAGAATGATATTATTATCAACTAGTAAGGTGGAAACATTACATTTGCCATTAAATAAAACAAGATGACACATATTTAAGGGAAATTTTAAGTTTAAAGAAGACCACCGAAATCAGTGGGGGAGTTAAACAAAATTTTTGAGAAAGATCATAAACATGTATTTCCCTAAGTATTTTACAAAATAATATAGGGATTTGGGAAAATACATGTTTTAATGTGATTATTTAATATCCCTAATAAAAACATCTTCAAAATTCCTACTGAAGACACAGAAAAAATATTTCTGGCGCAACTGCTAAATTATTGCTAGGCTCTGAAAGGAAATTACACTGTAAGACTGATACAAATGAAGTAGCATAATTGTTAGTCAACACATGCCTCTGTTTCACTACTTTATAAGACAATGTTTTTAAACATGTTAGACATATAGGGAGAAAAAAACACAATTTTTATGGAGTGCATGGTTTATGTTTGTCACATCTGTAAGATTCAGTAGATAAATTTTCAAAACATAAATGAAACAAGTTAATATGTTGTACTAATTATACAGAACTCTCTAATACAAAAATACAAAAATCGGGCCTCCCCGGTGGTGCAGTAGTTGAGTGCCACAATGTGAAGCTGTCCACAGCCTGTGCAGTGCCGGTTCGATTCCCCGCTGGCCAGGGAGCAGACCTGCCTGCTCTTGTCATGGTGGGGCAGATCTCTCCTGCCTCTCCCGCTGTTCCCCTCAGCAGTGTCTTCCGTCCATCTACCTGTTCTGCTCCCTGCTCTGTCTCTGGTGAATTTTCTCACCCTCCCGCACTTCTGACCTATACCCCAGTTCTTGAATAAATAAATGAATCTTTAAAAAAATACAAAAATCCATTGCAAACTGTTCTCATAATTGGAAAAGAGGCATTATATACAATACCATACACAAGGTAAATGTACAAAAAGTAACTATAGGATTTGAAGTTTGGGTTATTTGACAAGTGATTCCATTTTCTTTTTTACGTTTATTAGTGTTTTGTAAATATCTTATAAATGGTTTTTCTTTTTACTTTTATAAACATCAAAAAAAAAAACTTGTTAAAATATAATCAGGAAACTAAGGTAAATAAACAAATGTGTGGAATAATCGTATTTTCTTAAAAACAGTAGGCATTTTGAAATTACTTTTTATGATTTAATCAGATTAAACTGTATTTCATTTTCTGATGCTTTCCACAATAGGATGGGAAACACTTTTTTCAGAAGGTGTTGTAAATAACTGATCTAGTTGGTTATTCTAAATATTGTTAAAGAAATAAAACTTACTTCAGGGATTGCATTCAAATTAATGGATTTCCATACTACCAGGTCCTTTCAATTTATTTATTTATTTGTTTGTTTGTTTGTTTGTTTATTTATTTTTTTATTTATTCACAGGAGTGTGAGATAATTCACCACAGCCAGAGCGGGAAATAGAACAGGCAGACTGATGAAATACACTGCTGTGGGGAGCAGCGGGCATGGCAGGAGAGGTCTGTCACGCCACGTGGGACCCTCTCCAGTGGCCGGGGATAGAACCGGTGCTGTAGAGGCTGCGGGCAGCTTCACAGCCCACTGATCAACTGCTGTGCCACCAGGGGAGGCCCGGCCTTTCGATTTTTAATGTAAAAGATTAATTATAGTAGCATATTTAGGTATTGTCAAAATTGTAGGAATGTTGGTTTGAGGCAAAGTTGATTTCTGTACTTTTTAAACCATACCAAATGCAAATGGTTCACTATATAGACTGAACTCTTATGATGGGAAAAACTGGCTTTAGGAGAAAGGAGAAAGTGAAACAAATGGAAACTACCAACTTTTACTTAGTCATATTACTTAGTTGTACTTATAAAGCTATTTTAATTAATATATGAAAAATTAAATCACTGCTAAATTTTGAAAAGGTGAATTTATGAAATAGCAGGTAATTATTTCATATTGGAACAAAAAATAGAAGACAGCTATCAAAGAAGTATTACATATTTAAGTAGGTTTCCAGACTCCATGAGTTTTGAAATATCAGTACAAATTCCTACCAAAGAAGCAGTCAATAATTTGAGACACCAACCGACAAATTATGCTAAATTTGCCTCTTTTTTTTTTTTAGATTTATTTATTTATTTATACAAGCACTGGGTACAGTCAGAAGTGCAGGAGGGTTAGAAAATTCACCAGAGCCTGAGCAGGGAGCAGAGCAGGCAGAAGGACCGAAGTACACTGCTGTGGGGAGCAGCAGGCAGCAGGAGAGGTCTGCGCGCCATGTGGGACCCTCCTCCGGTGGCCCGGGAGCAGCTGGGGATCGAACCGGCGCTGCAGAAGCTGCGGGCAGCTTCTCAACCCAGCGCTCAACCGCTACGCCACCAGGAAGACCCTAAATTTGCTTTTTTGTGGAAACAAACTTTCTTATAAATTTTTTGCATGAAGTACAGAAAATTCCACCAATGCTTCTGTTACTGGGGAATGTCAAAGTTAGGCTGACTGGAAAATTAAAGTCCACATTTTTCTAGACAGATGGAGCCTCTTTGCCAAGATGGGGGTCACTAATCAGGACACTCTGAGAAGGTCATATGCAGAAGTGATGGTG